TATAAAAAGGAAAAAAGTACTAAAATGTATAAGGACTGGGAGATACCCCTCCCCCCGCCCCAAAAAAGAAAAGAATAAGATCTGGGAAATTGTTTTTTAAAATATAAAAGCTGTTAAGGCCCTACAGATTGTGTTCTAATTATAAAGGCTGTAGTTTAGAAAGAAATCCTGGTGTTTCATGTCAACTTAGCATCACTTCTTGCCGATCACTTCACATAAAAACCAATGTTTCCACTGCAAAGTATCTGAACATACTTCTTCAACAAGCAAGATAAATTACACCAAATCCTGATTAGAAAGCATAATACTGCTAAGGTACACACCACAAGGCAGGAGGAAAAATGCACGAGACTGCAGGGAAAAATGCAGGACATTTTTATGCATGCATCTCAAGTTTTAAGAACACAAATGAACCTAATCACAGAGGATGGCTGGCATATTCTGACAGTCCAGGCTATTATCACATTGTCACATTACAAATTTCACTGTGTTCCCCGCCATAAATTTGATTTTCAATCAAAATGCACGATGGACTTAAAAAAACAACCACAAAGGATGCCAGTGAAAAAAGGGAAGACAACATTGGTCAAGAAGCAACAGTAAGACCTGGACATGGAACAACAGACTGGTTCCAAATCAGGAAAGAAGTCAAGGCTGTATATTATCACCCTGCTTATTCAACTTATATGCAGAGTACATCACTAGAAATGCTGGACTGGAGGAAGCACAAGCTGGAATCAAGATTGCTGGGAGAAATATCAATAACCTCAGATATGCAGATGACAGCACCCTTATGGCAGAAAGCGAAGAACTAAAGAGCCTCTTGATGAAACTGAAAGAGGAGAGTGAAAAAGTTAGATTAAAATTCAACATTCAGAAAACTAAGATCACGGCATCTGGTCTCATCACTTCCTGGCCAATAGATGGGGAAACAATGGAAACAGTAAGAGACTTAATTTTGGGGGGCTCCAAAAATCACTGCAGATGATGACTGCAGCCATTAAATTAAAAGACACTTGCTCCGTGGAAGAAAAGTTATGACCAACCTAGACAGTATATTAAAAAGCAGAGATGTTACTTTACTAGCAAAGGTCAAAGCTACGGTTTTTCCAGTAGTCATGTATGGATGTGAGAGTTGGACTACAAAGAAAGCTGAGCGCCGAAGAATTGATGCTTTTGAACTGTAGTGTTGGAGAAGACTCTTCAGAGTCCCTTGGACTGCAAGGAGATCCAACCAGTCCATCCTAAAGGAGATCAGCCCTGGGTGTTCACTGGAAGGACTGATGCTGAAACTGAAAAACTCCAATCCTTTGGCTACCTGATGTGAGGAACTGACTCATTTGAAAAGATCCTGATGCTGGGAAAGATTAAAGGGAGGAGGAGAAGGGGATGACAGAGGATGAGATGGTTGGATGCATCACTGACTCAATGGACATGAGTTTAAGTAAACTCCGGGAGTTGGTGATGGACAGGGAGGCCTGGCGTGCTGCGGTTCATGGAGTCGCAAAGAGTCAGACACGACTGAGTGACTGAACTGAACATTGTAAACTTTAGAGAAACTCTATACTTAAAAATTTTAAATATATCGATATGGTTTATAACCACAGACATCCCGCAATGATTTAAAAATTGTCATTCCATCCCTAAGCAATTTTGTGCCCACGTGACCTACATCACCTCCTCCCACACAGACCTGCAAGTCTCCTCCCCCACTGCAGACTTGCAAGCCCTTGCAGGGGTCTAGTCTATAAAACAAGCAAGTATATATGAGAGATTCCTAAATCCGAATAGAGTCTACAGTTGAAAACCGAACTTTCTCCATCTCAAGTCAGTAGTTCTAATCGCAATAATTAGAAAAAGAACAATAATTCTGAAACTACAGTAGAGTTCCTGATATGGAGGGGAAAAAAAATTAAGGGTTTTTGTATCCAAACCATCTTTCTATCTTTAGATAGACTTTAGACAGACTTCCGTCTCAGGACGGAATGTTTAATCTAAGAACTCCATAAATTAACTAGTATCTAGAGATGCAGCTAAGACAGTGATAAATTTTAAAACTTTTGCAAATGTTAACATAAAAATCTAATTTCAGAATCAGCAAACTATAAAGTCCTCATTATCATTTCCTATGATACAGCAAAATTCTGAGTCCTCCCTGTGATCCCTCTGATTAAAGTTAAGCTGGCATGGTATTCCACGGGTTCTAGATACATGTCTATACAGAAATTAGCTAGAATGCACCTAAATTATTTTTATGCCAACAGCCCTCCCCAACTATCCATTCAAAACTTACAAATAAGATTCTTACAAAACAACCAGAAATTACCCATGCTAGTGAAAGAAAGAAGCATCTGAGAAATAAGTTTTGATATCCCAAAAGAACACAAAAACCTGTTTAAGCAGGTAACTTACAACTTTTCTCTGACCTTCTCTGGGTCCTGATCTTCAAGTCCTCTGATCTCCTTCAGTCTCACACTAAGAAAGGGAAGTTGCTCATCAATACACCCACAAACCCTCTTAACTAGGAGCTAACAATTTAAAACAGAGGCATCATGATGCAAATTAGAAGACAATCATAAGAAAGAGAGGTAATATGAGAACCAGAAGGAGCTCTTTAACCTACCTTCCTCCCAAACTCTATTTTTTTAATAAGCTACAGGAGATTTTGAGAATATGATTAGGCAGCAGTAGGATCTATTTTATTTTATCTAAAGTAGTCGACTTAGCAACTAACTTCCTTGTACAATAACTTAATTTGGGGTTTAAACAGCCTATATACACACTGTGACTGCAGTTCAATGAATGTATATATACTTTTATACCTTAACAATTATGGTCCTGATTACTCTGCCATAGAATACATATCATAATGCTTCCTTTGTACAGAGAACATGAAACTTCAGAAAGAATTACATAACTGTCAAAAAAGCAAATTCTTCAAAAGCAAAAGGCACATTATGAGGCTTTGAGAAATCATAAAACATAATATAAAACATAAACAAAAACACGTTGGAAGAAATAAAGATGTATGCAATCTAACCTTTTCACCCCAAATCAGTTCCTCCTTTTTCTTGCCACTCCAACATTGATGAAATGTAGAGTAATCGAAATTTACTCTGGAGACACACCAAGAGACTCCCAAAGGCCATGGAGGGAATTTCAACTAAAATTGAAAAGCCATACAGAGTTCCGCAAAGAAAAACAGACCACAGATAAAAAATTAACATCCACAGGTTTAATAAGCTAATAAAACAACGTGCCAGTTTTACTCGAACCAGAAAACTAAGCTGGAAGATAAAGACCAAAGCAGCAGCTTCATTTCAGCAAAATCTCCAACTAATCAACAAAGAGTAACATGCATCAGTGCGACTATCGTTTTTTTCCCGCCGCTGGTCGATTTCTTAAGATTTCACATTCTGGGCAAAAATTTTGTCTTTCTAAATTAAATTATTTATTTCATTTGTTCACAGTACACTTCTAAAAGGCTCAGGCTTAGTACTGCCGAACAGCTGTTAACTACATGAAAACGAGGTATTAGCGTAGCCCCACAGGGAAACATTTGCGGGAAAAGGTTTAAAAGAACAAACCCACCAGGCACGCCTAATAACGGCATATCTGATCCCCATCTTTACTGTCCTCTCTGTCGCAACTCAAAACACTTCGGGTTTCCTTGGGAAACTCTTGGGAGGCAAAAAAACACCAAACACCTCAATTCTCTGTAACGAACTCCCAAGATTATATTAACATACCGTCGTGTTAAATGCACAACATAAATCAAAACTAAACGGAATCTGTAAAACTGTTAGCTCAGATGTTTAAACAGTCATTCTAAAGAAGTCGTGTGTCTTCCAAACTTAAGTTCTTCAGAGCTCACAACTTAAAGGGCCTGTATTTCTTTTCCCCACTAGTCGATCCTCTTCGGACCTACACAGCACACTAAAGGGCCACTAACTGGGCCGCTCGGTTAGGGGCAGCCGGAACCGGTTTAACTTCACTTTAGATTCAGTTACCGAGCATTTAGGAGGTGTATGGCTTGGCTACTTACACTTCGACCAGTTAGGTTAAGATTTAAACCCTGCACGAACCTCAACAGTTCTTTGTTGCAAAATCCTCCCTACATCTCACATATCCCCCCAAGTAGAGGGAGTGCTCTCAAGCAGTAGAAAAGGATCAAGACCGGGCTGTGATAAAAGACGGAAGGTTTTTAAAGTCCTCCCAACCGGCAGCCCGCAACTGGCGTCGGGGCGGCATCCTCACCAGGATTCGGAACGCCTAGGAGACCCGCGCCTCAGCGGAGACCCCGGGCCCAGGGACCTAGTGATGACGCGAACCTCGGGGCGCGCCCCCCCGCCCTCGCGACCACCTGTCAGAGCGAGAGAGGCTACTCCCTACCCCGGAGCCTCCAAACCCCCAACTGACGGCGACCCCACCGCAGACACAGCTCCCTCGGAGCTCCGGAGGCCCAGACACCGCACCCTCCGCGCTCCTGTCAGGAAGGTCCCGGGCGCGACCCTAACGACCGACCGACCAACCACGCCCGCCCCTCCGCTGGGGCTGAGTCCCGGGCGGAGTCAGCCGGCCCGTCGCGAGCACCCGGCTCTCTCCCCACGCCGCTCCTCCTTAACCGCTCTGCTCAGCCCTGTCACCGCCGTCCGAGCCGACGACCAGCTACTTACCGCCTGACAGTCGCACCGAGGAACCCCCACCGCCTTGTTCAACGCCCCTGCCGTCGCCGTCGCCCCCGCCGTCTTCGTCACCGCCGCCGCCATGTTTGTTGTGTCTCCGGTTCCCTTCCCGCCCCACTGCCGTGCCCAACTCTCGCGTGAGCAGAGCGAAAAGCGAAGGGAGGCTGTTGTCCCTCTCGGCGTACCGTCGGGACAAGGGGGCGGAACAAAGGGCGGGGTGAGTGGGCGGGGCTGTCTCTACCTGTCTTCAGGTGTTCGCGTGCGGCCCTAGGGCACGTCTTGGCGGGATCAGTAGCGTCTGCTTTCTTAGCACTGATGGAGCGAGCTACTGTTCGGCTGCTGAGCGGCGGAGCGCTGGTGAGTGCGCTCGAGGCTGGCGTCTTGGGGAGGTCCCGGATTACCTTGGCAGCGGCAGAGGAGTCTTTTCCTAACAGGACTGGGGTGGGAGGGTGGTGTGTGCCCGGTCCCTGTCCCGGACCCGCGCTTCCCTCCCTCCGCCAGGTCTGTCCCAAGACCTGTTACCGCGGGCAGGACACGACCCCGACCTCTTTCCAGGCCTCTGAGCCAACCGGCCTTAGTTTCCGTAAGGAAGGCTGGGAGTAGCAGCTGGTGAGAAGTAGGCGAGGGACTGGTCTAAAAGCTTCTTTGGAGGAGCAGTGAACCTTGCGTGAGGTTGGAGAAACAACAGCTGCAAGGAAGCTTTTGCAGGCCATTGGATCCTGAGATTCTTTGGAGGCATTTTGCAGAGATGTCACTTATCTGATGCCGACTTTTCCCAATGCTCACATTTTCACCGCCTACCCTTCCCCACTAAAAAGATCGTTGAATTGTGAGCAGTCTCATTTTGCGCAGTTCACGCCTGTCCTCTTTAACGCGGCCCTGCTCCCGAGTTAGAAAGGGACCTCGGAGTTGGTGGCCCTTATCGGCCAAAAGGAGAATTTCCTCTGCCCTTTAACCCGGCTGGGACGCGAGCATCTTGCACGGGTGGGCTCATCGTGGCATCGTGGCACAGGGGAGCCCTTTCCTATCCCTCTTCCTAGAACGGGAACTGAAACCTGCCTCCCAGGTCCGCTTTCCAGACCTCCAAAAACTGTAGAGTCTTGCGTCGGGTTCTCATCACATTGAACCTTCAGCCCTTAAGACGCACTTTCCAGAACTATCCCAATACACTCCCGTTTGTTGGTGCACTTTATGGGAACTTTTCCACTGCTGGTTTTTTGCTTTTTATTGTTATTTGCATTTGTCTTTAGTGAGTTATAGGCCCTTTCCTGTTTCAGTCTGATACCCAGAGGAGAAGCTGTTTTTGTTTCATTAGAGATAATTAATGTTTGGCTCTTTTACAGGCTTGGGGTATTAAGGAAATTAGTAAAATCACATTAGTGTATTGTCATAAGGGATTCGGTTTTTATGGTTACTGCTTAATACCATTTTATAACCATTGTGTAATACTTTAGCGAAGACAGGGCACGCTATTTCACAATTTGAGCCTCTTCTTATGTTCTAGAGCCAACATTTATTGATCACATACTAGGTGGCAGCCATGTGCTTGGTGCTTTACCTGTATCATCTCATTTAATTCTCACAACCATTCTAAAAAGTAGTTTATAGACTTTCAGATGCCGAGGCTCATGCTAAAAAAGGTTAGGTGACTTGACTTGCTCGAAATTGATTAACTAGAAGATGGTAGAGCTGGTATTCTAACTGGTCTGTGTCTTGCCGCTCACACTGTTCACTGAACCCAGGGTAGGGAAGGCATGACCAGGGAAGCTGAACAAAGACTGAGGAGCTGTAGGGACTGCAGACATGTTTAATCTCCGTTCAGCGGCAGCAGCAGCAAGGAATCTTCAAAGACTTCTGATATACTAAGACAGACAAAGTGGCCCATGGCCAAGTGCGCGCACAGGCCCAGTGCTACCAAGGTCAGAATATCATTGTTTACAGAATATAAGGTACAAGACCGTGAAAGAGTGTGACAGGAGAGCCTGACTGACTCCTGTTGTCAGTTAATTTCTCCACAGTCTGTTTCTAAACTTAACCTTCCTGCACCAGTGCCTCCCCTTCCTCAGAGATATCAAAAGCCTATTTGGATTTGTTGGTTTTATTGTGGCCTTTGGAGCTCTTTGGGCTTCCCTTGTGCCTCAGCTGGTAAAAAAATCTGCCCGCAATGCAGGTGTCCTGGGTTCGATTCCTGGCTTGGGAAGATAACCTGGAGAAGAGATAGGCTACCCACTCCAGTACTCTGGCCTGGAGGATGCCATGGCCTGTCTAGTCCATGGAGCCGCAAAGAGTCATGACTGAGTGACTTTCACTTTCACTTGTAGCTCTTTTATTTAAGTTAACAAAATCTGATGGACGGGATGTTGCCTGTAGCAGAGTGGGTTAGAATGTGGGTTCCGTAGACTGGTCGCTCAGGTCATGGGCAGCTTACTTAACCACTTTGGATCTCAGTTTCTTGACCTGTAAAATGGGGAGAATAACAGTACTTATACACTGGGAGCATTGTGAAGATTAAATTAATTCGTATGTAGGTGTGAGTGAAGCCCAGTATAGAGTCGGCTCTCTTTAAGTGTTAGCTTATTATTGCCTTGCATGAATTATTGCCAGTGCTAAATAAATAGTTCCGAGAGGTGTGCTTACAGAAGGTAGGGCTTGACGTGAGCACCAAAAAAAGGGATATCTTAGGTTTAGGTAAAGCTCAGAGGGTGAAAATTCCAGACCAAGGAGATGTATTAACAAATGTTGGAATGCCCACGAATTGTGCCAGGATAGCTTGCAGAGGGATGGGACGAGTTCAGCGGGCATGACCACCATGTTCAGAGGTTATGTCTGTCTGCACTTGTTCCTGTAACAATGAGTACAGCCCAAACAGCATTGCCCACAGTCAGACAACAGCTTTTTTTGTTTAATAAAACACAGCATTTATAATGCTATTACCCATCAGTACTGAAAGGACGGTATTTCTTTGCAGTTTGTTTTCCACCCTCCTTTCTCTCTGGTGCCTTGAAGGCTAACCATAAAGATCTTCTCTGGCAGCCATGAGATTCTTTCTCCTTTCTCTTACAATCCTTGAGTACTAACCCTATCTTAGACTCCCACTGAGATGGAGAAATTACACATTTTCTAAATGGAGTGGCTTAATGATGGGCAAAGATTGGGATGTTTAGAGGAAAGGTAATTTAGGGGGAACAGAGGGAAAATAATTCTCTGTTAGACTTTTAATTTTAAAAAATGTCAGTGAAACATATCTCTGGAGAGTTCGGGAAGCTGGGCAGGATGAGGATCTGGAAATCAGAAAAATAAGAACTAAAGAAGTAGGTATTAGCTGAAGTCACAGGTGAGCCTGGGACATCTGAGGGACTGAAAGCTCCAGAGGGCCCAAGTCTATGCCTCTTGGGGTATATTACAGACCATGCTGGGTGAATGTTGCAGAAAGGCAAAGCAAAAGAAGAATAAATGTAGGATATCCGAGGAGGCTTTGTGGCAAACATGCTTTATTCAGAACTGGAGGGAAAGAAGGAGAGGGCTCTTTCAGTCTTTTCATAAGAGCAGAAGTATGAGCAGAGATTGTGCCACATAAAGAGAACAACCTAAGGAAAGCAGAGGCAAATGTTTTTTGAGAAGTTCCAAGTGCAGCCCCCTAACCCAGGGCAAATTTATGGAAATGCTGGATTGAAAATTGTGGCAGCGTATGAACTTGGTTCGTTGAACCATGAAGAACTGCTTGAGGCCCTAGTGCTGTCATCATATGGTTTGGCAACCAACTGGCCCCTGCAGGTGTTGGACTATGCCATGTTTGTTCTGGAATTTAGGTGTGCTAACTTCGATCTTAACTGTTTTTTCTGCTACCAGCCTGGTTCACCTGAAGAGGAGTAAGGGTCAAAGAAATTCCCAGCTCCCAGAAGGTATTGGACCCAAGTTAATTGCACAATTAAAAAACCAGATTAATTAATAATTCCTTCTTTTAAGATTCCTTTGGAAATAAAGGGAAGATAGTCTCTGCTTTCATTTTTATGCACTGGTGGTTTGGGAAGGAGAACGTGCTGACTTGCGAAGGTTATACAGAAGGCAAACAGGTCTCCTTTATGCTGGTTCCTGGCACTGTGCTCTATGTTGGTTGATTTAGCCCACCCCTGAGGCAGTCCGCTGTTCTTCCAGAAGGTGGTGGCATTGTTAGGAACTACTAGTGACTGGAATGAAGAGCTACAGACTAATGGAAGGGAGAGATTACATGTTCAGTAGTTTTGGGGAATACCTTAGAAGAGAAGCTACTGTTTGGAGAGAAAGCATGCAGGGATTCAAGAGATTCTGTTGCTAAAGTTTTGGCCCGAGCATATTAAAACAGAGAAAGGATCAACTTTAAAACCTACAGTGAGATATGCAGTACTTATGTCAGATCTTAAAGTGGATATCCTATGTTTAGTCAGAATTGAGTAGCTGTATTTAGTCAGAATTGAGCCATATCTTTCAAATCTAAATTCTGTGTTAATTGACCTATCAACCTATAGAACTGTTTATATGCCATATTACGCCTTTATCCTCTCATGGATCATAAGAATATCAGAAAATCACAGTTCTCATCTTGATTAGGTTAATTAACCTAAAGCAATAACAAGCAATGAGCATAATTAAGGGCATGCATGCATGCTAAGTCATTTCTCTCGTGTCTGACTGTGTGACCCCATGAACTATATAGTGCGCCAGGCTCCTCTGTCCGTGGGGTTATCCAGGCAAGAATACTGGAGTGGATTACTATGCCCTCCTCCAGGGCAGGGATCTTCCTGACCGAGGGATCGAACTTTTATCTCCTACGTTGCAAGCAGATTCTAAGCCACCTGGGAGGCCCATAATTAAGCAAATTGACATTTGATCTTGTATTATCTAAAAAAACTTAGTATGAGGGACCTTCCTCCTCTCTTCCTCTATTTCCTTTTTGGAGTAACTCATATATATTTTGAAGAAGGAAATGGCAGCCCACTCCAATATTCTTGCCTGGAAAATCCCATGGACAGAGAATCCTGGTGGGCTGCAGTCCATGGGGTTGCAAGAGTTGGTCAGGACTGAGCGACTAACACTTTCACTTTGCTTTCACTTTGAAATTGTTTCTCGCCTTAGCCCTGCCATTGTCCATTCCTCCTAGCAGGGTACGAGAGATCCTGTTTCTCCTCCTCCTTGCCAGCAGTTGGAGTTGTCAGTAAATTGTTTTAGTTTAGCCATTCTGATAGGTGTGTAATTATATCCCATTGTGTTAATTTACTTTTAAAGTAATTCTCACAGTTAGACGCAGTTCAGTTGCTCAGTTGAGTCCGACTCTTTGCAACCCCATGAACCGCAGCACACCAGGCTTCCCTGTCCTTCAC